TCTATCTCTTTAGTCTTTATTATCAAATGTTGGATACAATGTTTCTCTATACTTTATTTACTGATAGTCAGTCTTTGGAGACGAGCATATATTTGTAAACTATGTTTTGTTTTATTGATGGTTCTACATTTGTTATTGTGAATCATCATAGCTTCAAGAATGTCGTTTGGTTAAGAGGAAAAAAATGAAAGGAGACCTTTATTATTTGCTGCATTCAAGCTATTTTTTCTTTTCTCGCAATTTCAGAATTATTAAGTATGTAAAAACTGAGAGCTTTGGCATTCGCATCAAATCATCCAAAAGTCTTACCACAGTTTTACATTCTATACATTACATTTACCATCTAAAAATCTGTACAAAGTTTTGTTTGTCCAGATTCTATAGCAGATTTGAGTACTCGTAGTAAACCACAAAGAGAGCTTCTGGGTAATCCTTGGGAAGGCTATTGATGTAGAGATAAAATCTGAACAAATCTTCCCTTGAAGCCGTCCTTGCATCCACCACGTCGTTATCACCCGCAAGCACCCACAAGTCCTCTGAGTTCACTCTCTTCATGCTGCCTCGACAAAACGGGCATGACTGAGACTTCAAGTTCCTGCAGATTTGAGAAGCAATGGAGATTTAGTAAATGAAAGCTCCTTCATCAGGTCGAAAAGGTCTTAAAATTAAAGTGTGTATGCATACCAATTGCGGTAGCATTTGATGCACATAGAATGGCAGCAATTAGGCAGCACCATTTTGGTGCAAGTTTCTAAACAGATTCCACATTCTTCTTCACGCTCTAACCCGGTATTGCTGAATCTACTACTGCGAGACTCTTTTGTTATCTTCTTGCTGAGTCTTTTAATGTCAAACCCGATGTCTGCGGTTACCAACTCGTCTAAGTTGCTGTGTAATAGCTGAAGTGATGGCAGTATCACACCTACAAAACACAAGACATTAGTGACAAATATGGAGACACAAAGAGACTCATATTAAACATTCAACAGCATTCCCATTCTATACACCCACAATTTCTCCATCGATCTTTTAGTAAATGAAAATGAGAAACCTTAGGAAGAAAAATGGCCATGTCCACAAAAAGCTTAAGCCAAAAACATGAACATTATAACACTTGTGATCAATGGTTCGGGGTTTGCTTACCGTAGAACTCACTAATAGTTGCTTTCCTTCCGTGTGTGGTAAGCTTAGGTTGTCCATCAGACTGGACCTATAAATTGGCAACAAAATGAGAAATTTCAGCCACCAAAAACAAAGGTTATAGTCAGGACATCGATATCCCCAATAAAAGACGACATTTTGAGATCAAAGAAGACTTATAAAAACTAACCTTGTAGACAAGAACATGAAAAAGGTTTAAGTAGCGAGGAATAAGACATGAGCAAGAAAGATCAATCCACCGAAGCAAGATCAATAATAATGAAGCAAAGTTACTATGAACCAGTTTCATCTGAAGCCGCACATTGTTCTTCCCCATTGGAATTGCTTCTGCCCTGAAAAAGATATAAAGCTCAAAGTTCTCATGCACAATTCATCGAACAGAACATGTGCAATAACAAACATGAAACCTTGCCCACAAAAAAAGCTTCTAAATTTGCTTAAATTAGAATATCAAAACCAACAACAATTTTCCAGATTTTTTACATTTGTGAAAGCTTTCTAAAACTAAACTAAAAAGTCCATCGGAGTTTCCTAAAATAACCCAATTTGATGAGAAGACCTAAAATTCTCAGCTGGGTTTTCAATTTTGTCACCAACTATACTCTTATAGCTCAACAAATCAAACAATTTGAAACTAAAGTCTTAAACTTTATGAGAAACCCAGAAAAAGGACTTACAAAGAATTAGCGTGTTGAACATCAGCTTCCAAAATCTTCAAAGATTCATAGTACGAAGAAGAAGAAGATGATGAAGAAGAAGAAGATATCGCCAACTGATTATACATATCTCTCTGTATTTGTGATTACAGCAAAGAGGAATCAATTGAAGAAAATTCCCAGAAATATAAAGACAACGAAAGAGAATAAGATGAAAGAAGAAGAAGATGCTAAAAGTGAAGGGGAGATTGGTCTGATTGATCGGAAAAAGGCAAGAACCTAAAAGACAAAACAAACAAGCTATAAACACCGTAAGAACACAAGTCTCACTTCTTCTTCTTCTCTCTCTCTCTTTTTGCTTTTTTTCTTTCTTTTTGCCTTTTTGATTCTTTGTTTCACGGTTGCTAGCTTTTTATTTATATATTAATCATGTTTGAAGAAATACGAATATTTCTTCTTAATGACAAAATTAAATATGTGTTTTCCTGGTTTAATAAGCTGATTATTATAAACTTTGAGTTGAGATGGTTTTTTGTATGTGAATGTATAAATTTTTATTTTTTTTTTGTTCAAAGTGGATGAATATAATTTAATAGCTAGTCGCTTTCATTCAAATTGTAACAGCTTTTGGATTAAATACCTAAAGTGAATATAGACAAAACAAAAACCAAAGTGGAAGAACGCGTATACTTTGCCTCACTAATAAAACATGCTTTCCCTAAACCAAGAATAAACCCAAGATTATTCGATGATCTAAAAGTAGAGATGCACACAAAAACCAAAGTTAGAAATTATTTGAATCGAAACTAAATTTAGTTTGTATAAAAGCCTACTTGATTTTTTAATAATTTTAAACAAAACAAACTAAACTTAATTATTTTTTGTTAAAAATTCCAGACTTTTGACTCATATAAATTTTCTTGGTCAAAACAAATACTTGAATACTTTGTCAATACTAGACTGTTTTTCTAAATAACAAAAGATGAATCAAACAAACTTTAGGTTACCAAACTCAAATGAACGAAAAACTAATCTAAGTTAGAAAAGAAAAAAAAATTAAGTAATGTATGCTGTAGTACATATTCAGTTAAATTTTATTATTTATTATCTAATATTTTTCAAATTAATTGATACTGATAAAATTTTATTTTAATTCGATAAAATATTCTCTGTATGAACAAATGGAAAAACAATAAAATTAATATCAAATAGAGATGTTTTTTTCCGGTAGCCAAAGAAAGCCAACTAACATAACACGAGGAAACCACATCAAGGAAACTACTCCCAACAAGGTCTATCCAACAAGATAATCAACACCACATTGTCTTTGTAGGATCCAAAGAGACATGTATTTAAGCTTCATATAGGTCTTACTACGAGTCCAACTGCTGGACACAACGTAAATTCGCTAGCAAAGCATCTCAAACGTGCATGGAATTCTCTACGGGACAAACCAAACACCAACGAGCATTGAGAGACGCGTCAACCATGCAAAAAGCACACACTCTCATCAGACATACATGACACTCCACATAAGCTACTTGGACGGAACCACAACTATCGATGTCACGTTCCATCCACGTAAACGACACTCCATAGCCTACTATTTTACAGCTAGCGCAACCCAGTCAAACCACCATAAACCAAATCAACTAATTTTAGCTATTGTTGAGTCAAGAAATTAAAGAGACCAAAATAGCAGGGGCGGATCTAAAGAGGCTGAGGGTGGGGCACGTGCCCCATGCTCCATATTGAAAAGAAAAAAAAATTTGTAACACAAATCATAATTATTTGTTAGGTCAAGTGGCGATTTGTATATCACACTAGTAGAATTTGTAGATTACGTGTTCGAGTCCTAAAATTGTATTTTGCTTTTTCATTTTTTTAACTCACGTTCACTTCTCTCTTTGTCTGCACACATGACACATCTCTTTGTTTTGTTTATTCTTGATTCTTTTCATATTTTTATATTTTTTTATTGGTTGTATACATTTCATTCCAATCTTTTATTTATATACAAAACATATTAATTCTTTTGTATTCTATATAAAAAATAATTTTAAGTCATGTAAACCAACATTATCTACATTCTTAAATATTATATAAAAATTATATTTAGTGAATTTAGTAAATTTATTCTACTAAAGTATATTTTAGAAATATAAAAATCTATGACAATGGTATTCTTCATAAATTATTTTTGCAAATTTTTAGATTTTAAAAAACTCATATTATTTAAAGTTTGATATGTGCCCCATGCTGATAGTTTTTCTAGATCCGCCACTGCAAAATAGCCGCCGGTGTTCTTATATGTTCCTACGAACGTGTACAATATTCCAGAGAGAGTTTAATTAACCATGACTGATGGAAGAAAGGCTACAAAAACACTTCCTTTCTATATAAAAAATCTTTGCCAAATATACATGATTTAATCTAAACACTAATCAATATGCGAAGCGGGAAAAACCTAATTTAAAACAAAAAGAACGCAAAAGGCTAGAACGAAATAACAAAAAATTAAGAGATAAATATCAAATATCTTTTTTGATAAAATAAATATCAAATATCTTGTGTGTCAAGAATCTTTTTGTTTCCTCATGACCAAAAAAGAAAGAATCTTTTGTTTCCTAAATTTGTGTTTTTTCCTCGATGAAGAATTTCGAATGCATTTAATAATTTGTTTTCTTTAATCCAAAGGCGGTGGAGATTGTGGAGTTTTTAAGAATGATAAGCAGTAAGATCACAAAGTGAATATTGATGTTTAAATTTGGTCAAGATATATAAGTCAAGACAATTGAATTCAAATTATTGAAGATTTTATTCCATTTTTCGAAGTGTCTATATTGCTTTTACTTTTCTTCAAATTTTTGTTCTATTTATACTTTGATTTTCCTAATTCTATCATGCCTATATATATATTAATGTATAAATACATACGGTACTCTTTCTTGCTCATATGTAATAAAATTTGTAAAATGTAAAACTTACTTATGTAAAATTGATTCGATTATTACTGATTGATTTAGTTCCATTTATTAATTTTGATATTTATTTCCAAGTTTGACCCGATCTTGAGCATTAATTTTAAGAGATAATTATATATATGGTTTAGCTATATATTCGATATATGAATAAGATTTTTGTTTTAACATATGAAAGAGCTATTCCATACTCGCAGAGAGCATGATGGAGGCAGAGCAGCAAGTGGTAATGGCATCATCTTCATCACTAAGAAAGCGAAAGAGAAGAAGAATGAGAAGAATAATAAGGAGAAGAAGAAGAAGAAACGAGAAGCGAGTAAAGGCTCCATCATCACTACCAAACGACATCGTAGAAGAAATTTTCTTAAGATTTCCGGTGAAAGCCCTAATCCGACTCAAGTCTCTCTCAAAATATTGGAAATCAACGATCGAGTCTCGCAGTTTTGAAGAGAGATACTTGAAGCTCGCTAAGCAAGCCTGCATGGATCATCCCAAGGTCATGGTCATCACAGAAGAAGATCCCATAAGAGAAATCGGGTATCGTCCGTTCACAGACATTGGTTTTAGGACGATCTGCTTGGAATCGGCTTCTCTTCTATCCTATACTCGTCTCAATTTCCCTCAAGGGTTCTTCCACTGGATCAAAATCTCTGAAAGCTGTGATGGCCTTTTCTGTATCCATTCACCAAAATCACATTCTGTATATGTAGTTAATCCGGCTACACGGTGGCTCCGCCTACTTCCTCCGGCTGGGTTTCAGATTTTGATCCACAAGTTTAACCCCACGGAGCGTGAGTGGAATATAGAAATGAAATCAATCTTTCATCTAGCATTCGTGAAGGCCACCGATTACAAATTAGTGTGGTTGTATAATTGTGATAAGTACATTGCTGATGCGTCGAGTCCAAACGTGGGAGTCACAAAGTGCGAGGTTTTTGACTTTAGGGTAAATGCTTGGAGGTACTTGGCTTGCACTCCAAGTCATCGGATATTTTATGACCAAAAGCCAGCATCTGCAAACGGGTCGGTTTATTGGTTTACGGAACCATATAATGAAAGAATCGAAGTAGTGGCTTTTGATATTCATACCGAAACATTCCGGTTGCTGCCTAAGATAAATCCGGCTATTGCTGGTTCAGATCCTCACCATATTGACATGTGCACTCTGGATAATAGTTTGTGTATGTCGAAAAGAGAAAACGATACTATGATCCAAGATATTTGGAGGCTAAAACCATCAGAAGACACATGGGAGAAGATTTTCACCATAGATTTGCTTTCTTGTTCTTCTTCTCGGGTTGAGATTCGCGATTATTTTAATTAGAGACAGAAGGATTTGGTTGAGCCATCCACACCAGTGGCAGTATGCAAGAATAAGAAGATTCTACTCTCACATTGCTATTCCCGCGGTCTGGTAAAATATGATTCCTTAACAAAGTCTCTCGATTCTTTTTCCTACATCCTTGGTCTAAGAGAAAAGTTACTTATTTTCAAAGTTTGATATCTCATATCTAAATAAAAGTCTTCTACTACTACTACTTTGGAATTAAGAGACAACATTTCTTATATATCCTTCTTTATTTTTGTGTTTTGTTTTCTTAATATGTGCTAGAGATGTATTTGGCTATGCTTAATTGTGTAACTCAAATTTTCATTGTGTAGATTCTTATCAAAAAAATATGTGTTAGAGTTTCTTTCTTTCTTTTTCCTAAAGAACTGGTTGTAATACATGATGATATACATCTTAACTTAAGATAATTATCTCTACGAAATCATAATAGCTTTTTCAATCTTCGGACAAAGACATTCCAAGTGCTGCCTAATAAGAATCCGGTTTTGCTGATTCACATCCCGACCATATCAAGTTATGAACATGTGCAGTCTTGCTAATCGTGTATGCATGTCAAAAAGAAAGGGCCACAAGATGGTACAAGAGATGTGGATCTTCCAATCATCATCAGAAAATGCATGGGGGAAAATTTTATACCATAGATTTGCGCTCTTGTTGTTCATGGTCAGAAAATGTCATTGGTGTGGTTCGGCCAGTGTGATATGCAAGAACAACAAGATCCTCCTTTCGCATCGTTATTCCGAGGGTCTAGTGGAGTATCATCCCCAAACAAAATCTTACTCTTCGCTTCATGAACTTTTTGTCTATGAAAGAGTTGCTTCTTATTTCCAAAGTTTGGTCTCTCATGTCTAAAAGTTTACTTACTACCTTTCATTTGTTTGGACCATTTCTTGTCCTTTACTTAAATCTTCAAATTAAAGTGTTTTATCTTGTTATTTTAAGACAAATTTTTTTTGTTTCTTTCACTCATCTCGAGAATCAGACAGTTTGTTCAAAAAAATAAATTATTAACACACTCAAATCCCTCTGTTTCACAAAAAATATCGTTTTGGAATTATTATTTTTTGTTTCAAAGAGAATATTTTTTTAACATATTCAATGCAATTTTTGTAACTAATTTCCATATATGCCCTTATTTAAATCTAAAAAACTTTTATATTTAAGTTAGAAATTTATTACCAACCGCATCATATCACATATATAAACAACATTTCTAAGGAATGTCTCTTTTCAGTTTTAACTAAAAACTATTGACAAAAAAAAAAGAAAAATATATTAAATAAAAGTATGTTTGTATATTTAACTCATTTTTAATATGGGTAAAATGTATCAAAATGACACTCTTTATGAAACAGAATAAGAATAAGTAATAATAATCATATACATTTCATTTTATCGTAATTAGCTGTATTTACAATACCAGATCAAACACATCCACGCTATAATAATCCTTTATAATAATAATCAAACCATTAAAAATCCCTTTGTAAATTACATACCATCTTTTCTTTTGGGACATAAAACATTCTTCTTACTTGATCTTCAAGGTAACTCATTCTTCTTATCCTTAACTTTCTTCCCATTTCCATTTCCTTTCTCGAGATTGTTGATCTTATCTGCTTCTCTTTGGACCTCACTCTCTGGTACTTTAAAATCCTCAGCTATTCCCTTGATCATTGTCTCACCGTATTTCCTAACAGCAGCAAAATACCTATCTATTCATCATTTTATCTACCTATCTTTCTTTTTTCTTGCAAACAATTTTATTTTACTATAGAATTGAGATTATGTGAAGAAGTGAAGAGGGAAGGATGCATTTATAGATGAATCAAGGTAAAGAGGGCAAGAGCAAGGGGAAGGGAAAAGCTTGAAGAACATGTAAACTTCTTTTAGTTGATTCATTTTCGTAAAACTAATTAACATTATTTGGTTTAATGTCTCAAATTCAAGTCTATAATTTGTATATAAAGAAAAAATGTTTATGTTTTGCTTATATATCGCTCATGTTTTGCTTATTTACTTATTTGTTCAAATTGAATTCCTTTTAAATTTTAGAACAAATATATGTATCAATAGATATGTAGATCTTTCACAATTTCACAATTCATTCTTAAATTTAACTTGATCTTTCACAATATATCTGTTCTAGTTAAAATGTATCATAAGATATTTGACCTTTTTATTCTTATTTTATTCACAATAGAACTCTAATTTGAAAATAACTTTTCTCCTAGACCAAAAATTTCAGATATGAGAGATCAAACTTTGAATATAAGTAACTTTTCTCGTAGACCAAATATGTCGGAAAAAGAAATCGAGAGACATTGTTAGGGGATCGTATTTTCTAGACTGAGGGAATATATAGCTATTCGAGAGCAGAATCTTCTTGCTCTTGCATACTTCAGTGGTTTCTCGTTTCTTCTACTTCTTCTAGAACCATCACTACCAAACGACGTTCCAGAGTAAAAGATTTCTGGTGAAAGCACTAATCCAACTCAAGTCTCTCTCAGAACAATGGAGATCGACGATAGAGTCTCGCCCTTTAAACAAAAAAAAATTAATACTAAGACGATTACTTCAATAAAATCAACCAACAAAATTTTTTGAATCACATACCACATACACGGAACGGAAGTACGAGAGTTCTTTCCCTAATTTCCTTATAATAAGACATGATGACATGTCGATAATGACGTGCAAGAGTTTGGGTTTGCAAGAAAACAATTCATACATGTTAGTTACGTTTTTTTTTTAATTACCTTAAGGCCCGTAGGAAAAGAAAATTGCAATTACCGTTAGATTATTTTGTACAAGTGCTAAAAAAACCCAGGTTTACATGATATGTTAAACAGATTGCGTGGATTAAAGCATCACTGGTAACTGGTAAGTGTATTAATTAGTTTAGAACTAATGAAAAGGATGAACCTCTTCATAAAAAAATTCCACTTACTTATTCTACAAAAACAAGTTATTGTTTGGTAGTTATTCTTTATTTTTTGTGTATTTAACGACCCCACATTCAGTGGCGGAGGTAAAACCAATTTTTATTGGGGTCAAAATTATATAAAACAAAAAATCACGAAATACGTGTTTTTCAAGCAACTTTTCGATAATTATAAGCTCAAATTTTAAGAGGTTTAAGTGGCCTAAATTACTTTATTATTGATTTGGCTTTAATTTAAAAGGATTAAATATACTTTTAGCTTGAGAATGTGGGTTTAGGGTCTTTTTTTTTTAAGTAAAACATAGGTATAAGTTAGATTTATAGGGGTCAATGTAAAATTTTCAGTGGGATCAATCTCACATTTTCTCAAAATACATAATAGGTAACTAAATTTTGTTTGGGTCAGTTGACCCCCTCCATAAAGCATGCATCCGCCTCACATTGTTTATGAAACGGTAGAATAAGTAAGTGAAATTTTTGTACAAGCATTGGATATTTAAGACACCAAATTGTTTCTTACTTGATTTCATCAAAAGTTTTTGTACAATAATTATTCTAAAGAGAGGATGTGGACACTAATTATCCAATTTTGATCAGTGTGAGAAAATATGTTAGGATGGTGGTTTATGTGACAATATATAATATAATTTTCTTTTCATTTCTTATAATCTCTTCTCTCTAGCGAAAGATCGTCTACGTGGGCTGATAAGATGATCCTCGACTACCTCATCTCTGCTGCAAAACATGGGGATAACATGATAAATAGTGTTTCTGGTGCACTATTAACTGACAAATTTCCTCTGCCTTTACATTTTTATTACAACGCATGGCTAGGTTTGCTGCTACAAATCCTTGGCCTTGTGAGATTTGTGGATTATTATGACATTTGGTGTTTAATTTGCTTCTTCATATGTTCATCACTCTAGAAATATAATGGGAATAATATCTTCACCATTTAGACCATCCTCATCATACAAATGATGTCTTTAATTAATTTTATTTATTAAATATTAAACTAAACAAAATTAGAACCAATCAAAATATGACACATAATAGTTTAAGAGTGTCTTCAATAAGCGTCTTGCTAAAGACACTTTTGTTTATCTTTTTGATAAATATCTTTAATTTAATTTAATATTAAAAAATAATTAAGGAAAACATCCCATTTATCACAATGGAGGTGCTATTAAGGCCTTAATGCGCAACACATGTTATATCTTACGACTTACGAAGAAAAATGGCTCGCGATTAATCAAATGCAAAAAGTGTTAGATGTTAACTCTTAAGTTAAAAAAAAAAAAAGAAAGGGATATTCATCTTCCAAAAAGTTAATTTAACAATTATAAATACAATTTGTATAACAAATCGTAATCTACATGAAAAAAAAAATGCTACATAACAACAGATAAATATACGAGTGAAGGGAACCCTTCTTTCTTTTTTGTCTTTTCAGGCAAGCAATCACAACATATAAAAGAGCCCTAGCTTTCCCCAGATGATAGCTATATATACAAGTACATATGCACAAACAATGAGACATTTTTCTATTCTATTTCTCTTCAGAAAGCAATGAAATTCTTGTTGAGCTGATCATGAAACCTACCGGACCGCCGTACACTAGCGGCTCTTCTCGCTGTGAAACCAACCGTCGTGGGCCGAATCGATCTCTGCCTGACCATTTCCACAAACTCGGGATCATTAGAATGACCCTCGTACCGAATCCATTGAATCATTTGATGGTATCCCGGGAAGAATCTCATCTGAACTGACTTGAAGACGAAGAAAGGGATCAAAGCGAAGAACATCACGAAGAGAGTGGTGAGCCAGTAAGATGGAGCTGGAGCTAAGGCTTCGATGAAGACTTTGTAAGCATCTGTGGAGAAGCTAGGAGCGATGGCTCCATAGATCATAAGGAAGATGTACCAGAATGCAACTGAGCCCCATATTACAATGTGTTGGAGCCAAGTGAAATAGCTTATTGCTAGAGCCATTTGGAGATTGACGACCCAGACTACGCAAGTGTACATTGTCCCGCCGAGGATTTCTCGGCCGGCGGTTTTGCCATTAGGGTTGTAGAGTTGGTGTTTTAGAGATTCCTTGCAGAGGAAGAAAATGGCGAGCGCGGTGAAGACTCCGTTGAACATCCATCCGATGATTCTCTTCCAGCTGAAGAGAAGATTCTGAACTCCTTCTTGGTATAGCAACGGGAACTGCAAAAAGAAAAAGAAGCAAAAAAACCAGAGTTTAATGGGCGATTCTGAAGAATTTGAGGTTTTTATAGGGTTTATGGGGGCTAATGTTTGGATACCTTGTAACAGTAACGAGCTGAGACGTCTTGATCGAAAACTCCGAGAGCAATGACTGGAAGTGAAGAGAAGAAAACGTTGAAAAGCGATAAGAACCAGTCATTATATGCAGGTTGAGCAGAGAAGGATGTGTAGGCTTCGTATAAGAATACGGTGACACCAAAAGTGATATTCTTGTAGAAGAAGTAACATATCTGCAAGAGCGGAAACAGAACCCCGTTAGAGAAATTTTTGATGAATGTATAGAGTTTATATGGAGATTGTTTCTGAGAGAGAAAAATGTGTACCATTGATGAGATTCTACTGTAGCACCAGTGACCATGGACCAGCAAGAGACGCTCTAAGTAACGGAATTGAGCAATGGCTATATCGCTAGACATAACCGCTTGCATTCCCTCAACACCGCTGATTCCAACACCGATATCCGCTTCTTGAAGCATTCCGACGTCATTTGCTCCATCTCCAATAGCTAAAGTTGTCTTCCCGGTTCCAGATTTGACCAACCGCGTAACCTGAAAACAAAATCTTCTATTAACTAAACCGAAACCGCAATAGTAGAACCCATAAAAAGCTATTTCCATGGGAAAAGACATTACCAATGCCTTTTGTTTAGGTGATGATCTGCAGCAAATAACAGAGGCACATCCTGTGGCTAAATCAAGAAACTTCTTCTTGAAATCATCTTCAAGAGCGTAGGTTAGTGACTTCCCGTCAATGATCAACGCAAAAGCCTCATGAGAGCTCACGCTGCTTGATGCAGTGAGTAGAGCTTTCCCTTCTTCCATTTGCTTCACCACGCTTTCTCTTGATGCCTATAAACATCAGTCGGTCCAAATATATAAATCTCATTGATTAAAAGATAGCAAAAATATTTTCTGGTTTGAGTTACATAACGAAAAAAAATTACCTGTTCAATCTCATCTTTCCCACCAGCTTTCTCCAATGCTTTGATATGTGGTGTCTCAAGATTTATGATGATCTGTTTCATCTCTTGTCTTAGTAAACTACAAGCAAATCTGCAGAGATTCCGGAAAAAATGTAAGAAATTATGAAACAACACACACACTAAGAACATAGACATAAGAGCAAAAACATAAGTTCCTTACCCGATATTGATTGCAGTCTCCATTTTGTCTCCGGTTAGAACCCAAATCTTTATTCCTGCTTGAGCTAGCTTGTCGATGCAATCCGGAACCTAAAACACAATCAAGTTATAGTCCTACTCGACCCAAATCTGAATCCAAAACATTTTAAAAAAGAGCCATACCCCATTTTGAAGTTTATCCTCAACAGCAGTAGCACCAAGGAGAATCAAATTGCGTTCCATCTGATCTGTGATTTCATCGATTAAGCTCTCACGATCCGCTGTCACCGAGTTTTTAGCTTCATTGAAGTTCTTGCTGAATTCTATATACTCATTCTCATCAACCTCACGGTATGCAAGTATCAGTGTCCTTAGCCCTGCATCTGCATATTCATTAACGTGTTCTCGAGTCTTCTCTTCGAACTTTCTCCCGTTTTTGGCAAGTCTTTCAAACATCACACTGCACACAAAAAGATAAGATTCCACAAATTCAATATATATCAACAAAAAGGCCTCAAAATGTATAATCTCTCAAATTTTCAGTTTACTTACTTGTCAGCTCCTTTGGACAGTAACAGAAGTCTCCCATCTTCGTCGCGCACAATAACCGACATTCTCTTTCTCGCGCTGTTAAACTCAAGAACGTTTAGTAACCGATATACCCTGAAAGAAAACAGAGGAATTTTAGTTTTGACCTCAAGATATCGCAAAGAGGTTGAATTAGAAGAAGAAAAAGACCAACCTTTCAACTGTTTTCCCAGATGCAAGATCCAATTCACGAAAAGAAATCCCGTTTTGCGTTCGGCTAAAGAACTCAAACCCGAATTCTCGAGCCGCAACAACAAATGCAGCTTCATCAGGAGACTCAGCCTCGTAAGAGACACTCCCCGTGGCTTCATCGGTTTCGGGAATAGCCGTGTGACAAACAGCTAACAACCTGAAAAACTTCTGCAAAACCGCTGCATCTCGCTGCTTAACCCAATTCCCTTTCATAACCCTCTCATCCTCGAAATTAAACCCTTTGATCTTAGGACCAGACTGGTCCACTACAACATCCAAATCATCACCGACCAAATTCGAACCATTGCTTCTCATAGCCATAGATCTTTCAACTTCAGTTATACCGCGTCCATAAGCAGTTCCCGCGATAGAACATTTGATAAACTCCATGGAATTGCAGGTCAATGTTCCGGTTTTATCGGATAAAATCGTATCAACCATCCCAAGCTCTTCATTGAGATTAGACGTCCTAGCGTGCGCAGGTTTATCATTCTCCTCGTAGTACATAAGAATGTCATTGTTGATGAAAACACTCTGAAGAACTTTAACGATTTCGATAGAGACATAAAGCGAAATCGGTATGAAGTAACTGTAGAGCATAACCGCAGTGAAGAAATGGTAAATGGCAGCCATTGGAGCTCTGTCTGGGTCAAAGAAGATATCTGCCTCGTCTGGTCTTAAGTACCATCTCTCTGTTCTTCCTCCATTTCTCACTCTATCTTCTCTAGTCTCAACACCAAAGACAATCGAACCGATAAACGACATCAAAAACACAACACCGAACATCAAGTAGATGATTTTATCCATTTTTCTCTCGATTCTGCTTCTCTTCGATGGTGGATCAGTTGAGTTTTGAATCACCTGTTTCAAAATTTCAAATTCAACACTTTTGACACAATTCCTAAGGTACAAATGAAAAAACAGATGTTAAAGTTTATACCTTTGTGTCATGTCCAGTGAAGACAACAGCACCATAAACATACTCTGTGTTTCTAAGCTTGGAATCTCGAAGAAGAAGCTGTGTAATCGACAATGGTAATCTCTGTTCTTCAAAATGCAAAGTTCCAACAAAAGCATAAAGATCTGCATTTGGATCTTCACATTTCACAAGAGCTTTTAACTCTTTGAAATCTGAATCTTCATGTAAAGCCGATGAAGTCGCTTCTAAACCTTGCTTCACTTTCAGATTCGTTTCTCCGTCAAGATTCATCGTCTCTACATAACAAATCGAATCTTCGTAGCTCGATGATAAAAGCAAAAGATCCGCCGGAAAAAACTCGTCTTTTTCAACTCTAACTATATCTCCGACTTTAAGATTCCTCCATCCTTCTCGCCGGAACTTTCCATTTCCGTCGTGAACCTTCACTTTCCTATTATTCATTTCTATATCCTAAAACAGATAAAAAACAAAACTTTCATTAAAAATTCAAACTTTTAATTTGACAAATTCGATTCAAGATTTTAAATTCGGACCTGTTTTTTCCGACCCCAGTCTTCGATTGCTTCTTTAACCATACTTGCGGCGATGACGAAGGTGAGAGGTAAGAGAGCACTAATGGGGCTGTAAGGAGAGAGAGATGTCAACGATAAGATTCCGGTGACGAGGAAGTAGAAATTGGCAACACGACGGAACTGTTCAAAGAGTGATTTTGGTATGAAAGAAGCTGGAGTGTATTTAGTTGACCGGACATAGTTTCCGGTGTAGTTACGTCGTTCAGCTGCCGGAGAATTTGGTTCGTTACAATAAACAACTCGTGAGAAACCAGGTCCTCCTATGTGTGAATGGTCTTCTTGAAAATTTGATTTACGACCTTTGAATGCGTATATGTTGCTCAGATGTAATCTTCTTCTCCGACACTTTGTCATTGTTGTTGTCTGAAAATCTCTTGTAAAGTTTTGGAAAATTGGAGAGGGAAAAAGAATGAAAGAATGAAGATATTTTTGGAACTATAGAATGAAAAAATTTGATAGAGAAATGTCTAACTTTTATGAGAGTAATTATATGATTGATTTAGCTAGCATTGCAACTCAGAAAAGAAGAGGAACGAGTGATGAAAAAACCCAACTTTGAACGACGACTTTCAACGGATTATTATTTTATTTAACGGAGTTTTATTGTTTATTACTTTTTATATTTTTCTTGGTACTGAGGAAATTGAATAATTTTCTCTGAAATTTAGAATCCTAGGGAGTATATGGTACATATTTTTTTCGATAAAAATCGGTTTTGTAAACAATGAATAGTTGGCAAAATAAAATAAAAAGGGAAAATAATCAAGAATAAATAAAAACATTTGAATAACAAAGAGATTTGGATAAATTTAGAATGGAATGTAATAGAGTCTTAAAATGTTTAGAAATCTTTTTAAAAAATTATCTAAGAATAAACCTCTCATTGTCCTGCTCTAGAAGAATTAATAATAGAGGAACGACTGTGAATGAGCCGTGGACGAAGACGAAGTCGTTACATATTTATCTCTTTTGACAACTTCTTGGAACAGAGAAGAATAGTCAAGAGTGGCAATTACTGGCAAGTAATTACTATATACTATAGTGATTAGTGAATGAATGATATTATTAATTGATTGTTTGCAAGGATTAAAATTATTATTATTATATTATCAAACTAAAATAATTGATCTCCGCCAGGCTAGAAGGTTCTCTGGCTCGATCTCCTGATTAAAATTATCATCTTCTGACACTCTTTTAGCAAGTAGCAACACATGTGAAAATTAATTTCCATCTCATAATTTATTGCCAGTTCGGTAATGCGGATTCATCTAAATAAATAAAAATATTAAAAGTTTGGCAAGATTATATGTCATCTAGCTCCTCCATTACCGAACTTGAGCTCAAGGACATATAAAATTAGGTTATTTTGCATATTTTTAGTTGGTGTCTTGGTTGGTAATTCTTTAAACAAATAAAAAACTATTTCCGTTCATGATTTCCTTAGATCTAGAAGTAGTCATAGTTTAAAGAGCTTAATCATAGTTATAAGTTTGTTAAACCATGGTTAACTCATCTTCCTCCTTGTATATAACATTGTTGTACATTTTAGATTCATTTATAACATGTTTGCGATCTGATAAATTCTTTTTTTAATTACATATTATCACGATATGTTCATGTCACTATTATAGTCACACATCTTCCCAGCAAATACGTCTCACCTACTCTCATTATCATGGCTGCGCGACTGATTCAAACACCATCCCATTCTCATGCGTGAGCATAATTTAATTTAATAATTAGTCGTTATCGCTTTGACAATAATGATGCATTTGGGACAATAATGATGCATTTGGGACAACGGTTTTAATCCTATGTTTATATAAATATATAAAGTTAACTTTGCTAACATATAAAATATTTAAGATGATGTAACAAAAAAAAAAAAAAAAGATCAAGAAGAAAAACAAACGTTCACTTTCACATCAGCGGTCACGTGACGACGACTTCATTAATTATCTTTTAATCCTAACGGGCCAGCGATTACATTGGGCTTTACTCATATTCACATTTAACTATTTTTAGGCCCAAAAAATGAAGTCTCCAACAAAATCGGACCTTCTGTTTGCTTTCTGCGTGACGGTAATTTCCCTTTTAACTCCATTCACCGACGACCAATTTCACTATTTCGATTTTACTTTTTTTTTTTTAATCGGGGACTTCAAAATTCTTAAAGCCGTTGTGTTGTCAGAGAGAGAAAAAGAAGAGAGATTTTTTTTTGGGAAATTAGGGTTCCAAAAATTTCGAACTAATGTTCACGCCACAGAGAAAACCGTGGATGTCACCGGCGATGACTCCGAGAAGCGATACGCGTAAAATCGGCGGTGTTACTAACCCTAGAAACGTTGATAGAAAGGGAAAGGCCGTTGCTTTTAGCGATGACCTAGTGATATCGACTCTCCCACCGCCTCCGATTGGAACACTGACCGGAGAAGGCGTTTCTCGAGGTTACACTGATGATATGGATATGAGTGATTGGAGAAGGTTTAGGGAAGTGGGTTTGTTGAATGAGGCTTCAATGGAGAAGAAAGATCAAGAAGCTCTTCTTGAAAAGATCTCCACACTTGAAAAAGAGGTAACCTTTATGAACAATTTGATTATTCTGTTTCTGGGTTTGCTTTATTTCTGTGAGAATCTATAGTAGCAAGAAGGACATTTGGGTATGGTTTCATATTCTGCTCTCATGGGTTTATGAGGCAACTTTATAGCTGTCTGAAAGTTGAAATGAGTGTTTTTGACTCTTTGTTATCACTTTCGATAAATACAAATATACAGGCTTTAATCTCTTAGACTTGGTTCTTCTGTGCAGTTATATGGCTACCAGCACAATATGGGGCTTCTTCTCATGGAGAACAAAGAGTTGGTTTCAAAGCACGAACAACTAAATCAGGCAATCCAAGAAGCTCAAGAAATCCTTAAAAGGGAACAGTCGTCACATCTGTATGCGTTGACGACTGTCGAACAACGCGAAGAAAACTTGAGAAAAGCTTTGGGTCTGGAAAAGCAATGTGTGCAAGAGGTAGCATTCTTTAGCTTTAACATTATGGTTATCTCAAAATTATGTTTGATTTTCTACGTGTTTGCTCTCAAGAATATAAATTTTATCTACTTATGTGATGCATTGATTTTGGGGTGTTCTTCTTTTCTGTTGAGCTTCCTTAGACATGAGATTCATTTTTCTGTATTAGTTAGACGTTTTACTTTGTTTGTGTTCTGAATTTTCTTTGATATATTCTTTTATTTTATTTTTGTCTGCAGCTTGAGAAGGCTCTTCGTGAAACTCAAGAGGAGAATAGCAAGATGAGGCTGACTTCTGAAGCTAAATTAGTTGAAGCTAATGCTCTGGTTGCTAGTGTTAACGGGAGATCTTCAGACGTGGAAAACAAGATTTACTCTGCCGAAAGCAAGCTCGCAGAGGCAACTAGAAAGAGCTCCGAGCTGAAAATGAGATTGAAGGAAGTGGAGACTCGTGAAAGTGTCCTGAAACAAGAGCGGCTTTCATTTGCTAAAGAGTAAATATAGATATCAGATATACGTCTGAAAAATTTCAATTCTTTTTGTTAGTCTTAAGTGTATGTTATTGTTATTGCACCACAGGCGAGAATCATATGAAGGGACTTTCCACAAGCAAAGAGAGTACCTTAATGAATGGGAGAAAAAGCTTCAAGAAAAGGAAGAAATAATGACTGAGCAGAAGAGAAGCCTGAATCAAAGAGAGGAAAAGGTTAATGAAAAAGAAAAGAAACTGAAGCTGAAAGAAAAAGAACTTGAAGAATGGAATAGAAAGGTTGATTTGTCTATGTCGAAGTGTAAAGAAACTGAAGAGGACATAACGAAACGATTGGAAGAATTGACTACAAAAGAGAAAGTGAGTTTATAGCTTTTGAAAATGGCTTATTTAGACTTGTGCATATTTCTTATATATGACTTTGTTTATGGTGGTTTACCCTAGGAAGCTCACACACTCCAGAGCACGCTAGTGGCAAAGGAGAATGAGTTACGAGCCTTTGAAGAGAAGCTCATTGCTAGAGAAGGGGTAAGTTTAAGGGTATAGCTTTTGTAGATTGTAGTTGTTGAACATTTTTATACACTGGAAATATAAATATTTAATGAAAGTAACAGCATTCTCATAATAGGAATACTGTTATGCACTGGATATCAAGCCTTCTTTCTACTTAGTCCATATTGTAGGAGTATTGCGTAGCTGGTGATCAACAAGTTTGGATGACTGCTCATATATATGTATACACTTATATATGACCTTCTTACTTGACGATGTACCTATTTAGTTTTTCCCGTTGAATTTATAAAATTTCATTTACTCTGATATCAATTATTAAAGCTTTGGTTTGGTTTTTTTAACAGACAGAAATTCAGAAGCTTATTGATGATCAGAAAGAGGCATTAGCTGCCAAGATGCTGGAATTTGAACTGGAATGTGAAGAAAGAAGAAAATCTCTGGGCAAGGAAATCCTAAGAAAGATAGAAGAGCTCGAACGACAGAAAGTTGAAATTGATCATAGCGAAGAGAAGTTGGAGAAAAGGAATCAAGCAATGAATAAGAAGTTTGACCGAGTGAATGAAAAGGAGATGGACCTTGAAGCAAAGTTGAAAACTATTAAAGAAAGAGAAAAGATCATACAAGCTGAGGAGAAAAAGTTGAGTTTGGAAAAACAACAGTTGCTTTCTGATAAGGAGAGTCTGGAAGATCTACAACAAGAGATTGAAAAAATCCGAGCTGAGATGATGAAAAAGGAAGAAATGATTGAAGAAGAATGCAAAAGTCTTGAAATCAAGAAAGAAGAGAGGGAAGAATACCTGAGACTGCAATCTGAACTCAAGTCCCAGATAGAGAAATCTAGACTCCACGAAGAGTTTCTTTCTAAGGAAGTTGAAAATCTGAAGCAAGAGAAAGAGAGATTTGAAAAGGAGTGGGAAATATTGGATGAGAAGCAAGCAGAATACAAGAAAGAACAGATACGAATTTCTGAAGAAAAAGAAAAGTTTGAGAGGTTTCAACTACTGGAAGGAGAAAGATTGGAGAAAGAAGAGAGTGCTTTGAGGGTTCAGATCATGCAAGAACTGGATGATATTAGACTGCAGAGAGAATCATTTGAAGCCAATATGGAACATGAACGATCAGCGTTACATGAAAAAGCCAAACTTGAGCAATCTAAGGTGATTGACGATCTTGAAATGATGAGAAGGAATCTTGAAATTGAACTTCAGAAAAGAAAAGAACAAGACGAGAAAGAGCTACTAGACAGAATGGCTCAGTTTGAGGACAAAAGAATGAAAGAGCTTAGTGATATCAATCACCAGAAGCAGGCTTTGAATAGGGAGATGGAAGAAATGATGTCCAAAAGGAGTGCTCTCCAAAAGGAAAGTGAAGATATTGCAAAGCACAAGGAGAAACTAAAAGAGCAGCAAGTAGAGATGCATAATGACATCAGCGAACTTAGTACACTCAGCATCAACCTCAAGAAACGTAGGGAAGTGTTTGCCCATGAAAGAGCTCGTTTTCTAGCATTTGTTCAAAAGCTCAAGGATTGTGGGAGTTGTGGACAGCTGGTAAATGACTTTGTACTCTCTGATCTCCAGCTACCATATATTGAAGCAGAAGCTATTCTACCACCTATTGGAGTTTTGAGTGACCTTCCAGGAAGCTCTAATGCATCTGACTCTTGTAATATCAAGAAATCTCTAGACGGAGATACCTCTGGAAGTGGGGGATCTAGAAGGCCCAACATGTCGATACTGCAGAAGTGCACTTCAATCATTTTCTCACCAAGTAAAAGAGTTGAACATGGGACTGACACTGGCAAGCCTGAGCAGCGTCCATCCTCCTCAGTGGCAGTTGGTATGGAAACAAAAGGTGAAAAGCCTCTGCCAATTGATCTCCGACTGCGTCCATCTAGTAGCTCAATTCCGGAGGAGGATGAGGAATATACAGACAGTAGAGTACAAGAAACTTCTGAGGGTTCTCAGCTATCTGAGCGTCAAAGTGCCAGGCGTGGACGAGGCAGACCTAGAAAAGCCAAGCCTGCTTTGAATCCTACAAGTTCGGTGAAGCATGCCAGCCCTGAAGAATCATCAAAAGATGAATTGAGTGGTCACGTTTCTGTTACTAGAGAGAAGACAACAGGGGGAGGTGGAAGGAAAAGACAGCATACTGATGATACTACTACTGGTGGACAGCGTAAGAGACAGCAGACAGTTGCTGTCTTGCCACAGACCCCTGGCCAAAGACGCTACAATCTGAGGCGGAACAAGACGTAAGTTTCCTAACATTGTGACAGTGAGTTTAAAGGTTTTAATATGGCTTCACATGATTTTGTTTAGCATATGTTGAGGTAGAAAGTAGGGGGCCGTTGTATTGGTTTAGTCTCGGTAGGTAAAAAATATTAGTCTGGTTTCACTATTAATAACCACATTCCCTATCATTGTTGTATCTTAATTCTGCTCATTGATTGCCTAAAATCTTATGAGTGAACAGTGTAGACCAAGTTCCAGCAGATGTTAAGGATAATGCAGCTGGTGGTGAAGATGATGCAGACATTGCTACCTCTGCCCCATCAAAGGACAATGTCGAAGAAACTAGCGAATCTGTGGTGGAGACTCTTCGAGCTAGAAGAATAGAAACTTCAGAAATTAGGGTTGCAAATGTGGAACCAACAGCTCCCTCTGTTGAAGATGATCAGAAGCAGAGAACAGTAAATGAGGATATGAATAAGGATGGAGATGGAGATGAAGAAGAAGATGAAGCTCAAGATGATGATAATGATGAAATTCAAGATGATGATGATGATGATGATGGTGATGATGATGATGGTGATGATGATGATGGATCACCAAGACCCGGTGAAGGATCCATAAGAAAGAAGCTTTGGACTTTTCTCACTACATAACCATCGCACGTGGATGATCTAGGAGATGTTACTTTCACATTTATTCTGTAAAACCATTTATAGCTTCTTGGATCCAAAGAGAGACCCTTTTGATAGGGGTGAAGTTAGAAGAATTAGAAGCAGAGGCGTGTGTTTTTAATGATGTACTTTGAATTGACAGAACATAAAAGCCAGAATCCAAAAGGATAATATTGATTACAAAATAAATGTCAAAGGATTAATTTGCAGAAAAGCAGAACAGTAAAAGAAAAATCTTTGTCAACATTAAATTCAATAACGCTTTGATATGTGTGCTTCTCTGCATGCTCTAGTACATACGTATATGTTATAAGTATTGGTAAATTCCATATGTGCATAAATGTATGGTTATGGGAACAAATGAAACCTTTACTTTATGTGACAAAAGAGGAACATGTAACCAAATTCTCTTCTTTTACTTTTTAACCATTTGAATTGTAATGAGAAAAGCTATTGATTCCCAACGACCTCTCGCTCTCCCTTCAATAAATAATAACAAGAACCAACTCAAAACCCAAATAGAAAGAGGACAAAATACATTACACGCTCTGTTTCTCCTGTTCTTGTTCTCTGTGTGAACAATGTTGTGGCAAACGTTTTTTTACTCTCTTCTCTTACTATCTCTGCTTTTCTGTTGTACCGGAGATGAGTCTTTACCTGAAGTAACTGATTCTGAAGAAGCTCCAATGGACAAAAGAGAACGTGAAGCCTTGTACTCTGCGATTCAAGGATTTGTTGGTGATTCTTGGAACGGATCTGCTCTCTATCCTGATCCTTGTGGTTGGACTCCAATTCAGGTTTTTCTTACTAATCTCTCTTTCCTTAAATCCTTGTTTTATAGTTTCTCTAGAGTCATGTTTTGTACGGTCAAGTCCTTAATTTGTCATAGACTCTTCAATATAGTGAAGAGATGTAGAAACTTTTTATCTTTAGATGGTGTTGAATCAATCAAACTTAACTTCGAAAAGCTTTTGAAATGATGTGTAAAGATTTTTTTGTTTTCTAGCTGTCTCAAATAATTCTTCAAAATGCTTTGTCCCCTTTGAAAATTTTCCATAATCGGATAGTGAAGTTTAAAGCTTCAAAGCAACAAAGTGAATCCTATTTTCATATAACATCTCTTTTTTGGGGTTTCTTTAAATGTTTCAATGGTTGTTACAATTATATGCTCATTGGCCCACCAATCATTCCTTTTCTTGCAGCTAAGTACTCTTAAGAAAATCCAAACATTGAAAAAAAAAACAAAACGTTTTTGTTTTGGTTTCAGGGTGTTTCATGTGACATCTACAATGACTTGTGGTATGTCACAGATTTGAGTTTAGGGCTTATTTACGAAAACTCGCTTGCTTGCTCCTCAAGTCTTCAGATAAGGCCAGAATTATTTGAGCTCAAGCACTTAAGGTCTCTCTCCTTCTTCAACTGCTTTATCTCTCCCATGGTGATATCTCAAAAGGGCTGGATAAACTTTGCATCTAACTTAGAATCGCTCGAGTTTAGATCCAATCCCGGTCTCATTGGGAAACTTCCTGAAACAATTGGCAATCTCACAAAGCTGAAGTCCTTAGTAGTTCTCGGAAATGGGTTCAATGGAGAACTACCGGCGAGTATCTGCAACTTAAAGAATCTAAAGCGGCTTGTTTTCGCAGGGAACTCATTCGCGGGAATGATCCCAAATTGTTTCAAAGGGTTAAAAGAGCTCTTGATCTTGGATTTGAGCCGTAACTCTTTCTCAGGGACATTGCCTTCATCTGTTGGAGATTTGGTTTCTTTGCTCAAGCTTGACTTAAGCAATAACCTCTTAGAAGGGAACTTACCTCAAGAAATAGGGCTTTTGAAGAATTTGACACTTTTGGATCTGAGGAACAACAGATTCTCTGGTGGGCTGTCCAAGAATATTGAAAATATTCAATCTCTAACGGAATTGGTGTTATCAAACAATCCAATGGGTGAGGAAGATATGATGGGAACAAAGTGGGAAAAGATGAAAAATTTGGTAGTTTTGGATTTATCCAAAATGGGTTTGAGAGGTGAGATTCCAACAAGTCTAACCAACTTGAAAACGTTGAGATTTCTTGGTCTGAACAACAACAATCTAACAGGTTTTGTTCCATCAAAGAAACTAGAGGCTTTGCCTTGTCTTGGTGCTTTATACATCAATGAAAACAACTTAACAGGTGAGCTTAGATTCTCTACAAAGTTCTATGAGAAGATGGGAAGAAGATTTAAAGCTTCAAGGAATCCAAATCTTTGTCAACCATTTGAAATGGTAAAGTCAGAATCTCATAAGCATTTACTTCCTCGTGGAGTGAAGCCATGCACTTAAGAGAAGGAAGAGTTTGGTAATATAACAAACGTGAAACCAATAGGAGGAGTTGAAGTCATTATCAATGGGTGTTTGTGAACTCATCAAGCTATCTTTTTTTTTTTCTTACATTGTGGTACATATGTAAGAATATTACTTAAATCTCATCGAGACTTCTATTATTGTACTGCTATATTGGCCCATAAATGAATATGTAGACGATTAAAAAACAAAAGTCTTATTGGGCTGATACTGCTGGCCCAGTAAGGGAATCAATAAATAAAAACAAACTGGCCCATGCAGGTTTCGAACCTGCGACCTTCGCGTTATTAGCACGACGCTCTAACCAACTGAGCTAATGGGCCACTTTGATGATAGACTATGTTATTATTAAATAATTTGTTTTGTAGAGAAGAGGAATGGTGGAACTATGAGGCTCAAAACAAAAAGACACAAATTTTGTTGACAACTATTTAATACAGTGCTACGGAGTAAAGTACGAGCAAGATGCCAACATATAGACTTAGACTTGTCACAAATAATTGCTCTCTTCATGTCTCATAAAGAGACGATCATATATTATATAATTAAACGGGAGATAAGATAATTATATGTAATGTTATGGGAAAGAAGAACACATAATGTGAAGGCACCCGGAAAGAAGCCCAAAATGGTCTAGAATTGTAGACAGAAACAAAGGAACACAACTCAATAAGGAAATTAATAATTAGTTGGTTTGATGGGGCGAATAGTGTCTGAATGTTTCATCTTCCAAAGAGATAATGTCAACAAAGAAAAAGTCATAGAAACTTCTCAAACGTTACAAAGACTCCAACAAATCAACTACATTTGATTTGTTGTTTGAGACATCGTAGGCCATCTCTTGTTCATTTTTTCGGTACACTGAACTTGTTTAAACCCAACAAGTTGGATCGACCTGGTGGTGTTTGGAATTCCAAGTTGGAAATAAGATGAACTATGGATCGGATCGGATCGGATCGGATTGGATCGGATCATACTTGATACTAATTGCCTTTTTATTGAAAACACAGAATTCTTGTTATGTCCTTGATGTCCATCATTAGAGAGAGAGGTACATAAAAAAAAGGTTCAGCCTCGTCTTGTTTTCGTTACCAAATTTTCGTTTCATGTGGAAATATGTTTTTAATCAGGAAAAAGTTTGAAATCTTTGTTTGTGAATGTAACAATGTCGGAAAGAAGTGAGATTATCAAATTTATATCTGAGACAATCGTAAAAATTATTATTGAAGTATTAGCTAATTATTACATATTAATAAAAATGCATAACTAGAACCAAAGAAAATGTTATTTTAATTTCCTCCTTTATGGTTTTTAGTTAAATTAATCCGGAACATATCTCAAACATGATTTTTGGCTTTTTCATCTATCTTATCCTACTTCATTTTCATCACAAATTTAATCAAAGAAAAATGAATCGAGATTTTTTTTGTTAATGTGTTACCTTTTGTTTGCCCACTCCACCCTAAACCAATGGAGAATGTTAGGCATAGTATTTAAAATAAAAATAAAAGGACGTTGAACAATAAGTACAAAAGGAGATTAGTTCCAGAAAATTAAAAGTACAAAAAGGAAACCATAAGGTTGAAAGGTGAGTGGCTCAATTATTACAACTTTATTTATTAGGGCAAACACTCAAAATTCGTAGCCCGAGAAGAAGTGAAAGAGACAAGAGAGAAGAGACCGGTGGTGATGGTCACGACGGCGACGATGGTAGGACCGCCGCACGTGGCCTGCCTTACCCATGTCTCCATTTGACCAGTCAACGTACTTCTTCTTTAATTATTGGAGTTCTTCAGTACATATCTAAAGGACTAAAAGGTTTATCAAGTGTTAATTCAAGTTCATATTATTAACATGACCAGTTCTTTTTCATCTAAACAGCTAATAACTCATACAGTCATACCAAACAAAAAAAGTTTTATGAGTCACTCTAAATTTTAGTTTTAGAAAACAGAGAAGAGTCGTCAGATTTAATCAAGTTGACAATATACTGAAATCAGTATGTCCTTTGAAAATCGGAAAACGGCTGATTATAGAATATAATTAGACGTGACATCGTCCATCATAATTATTTTAGCACCTAATGATAACGTCAGATAAATCAGAGGGACCAACCAAACTAATGATTTTGAGTATTGTGTCCCTTGGTTTATATATACAGTCGCTCATAAATTAATGAATTATATCATCCCTCTCAATACAGATGTATTTTGAGTAATTATCTGTTACATTTAGCTAATCAATCTATTATGTCTAATATCAATAATTAAAAATATTAATTTAGAGCAACTATGCATTAATAGATCTAAATTGATTATCTTTATAAGAAAATATAATTTTAGACTGTAATGTCAACAATACAAATCTTAGTAGTGTTATTTAACTTACTTTGATAACTCACTTGTCGCAACAGAGATTAATCAACACAAAACATAAAAGTTTGAGGCAAACTATGGGACATGTCGAAAATTGTGTGATAATATTCTCCCATGAACTAAAATAAAAGTAGACTTTTTGTTGGTCGGAATTAAAATAGATTAGTTTAACCAACCCATCCCCATTCGTGGGGCAGCGATAATCAACAATTAACTAACGAAATCTTATTGATTATTGCTTTATTATTGCCGCCTTTGAATCATACATCATAGGAACAGAGAGTTGTTGGTTTGACTAAACATATGATTAATTAAACTGCATATTAGGAGTACCTTCGACAAAAATACATTAATTGTGTGATCCTTGTAATATTATATTGAAAGAATCGTATGAACACTGAAATTGAGATTTGAAAACCTTAATTAACGTCCCAAGAAAAGATTAGATAGACTATAGAAAAGAGGTAAAGACCATTTATACATTAACTGTAAAATCATTATATATTTCAAATGTCATAGAACAAAGCCAAAAGCTATTACAAAATTTTGTCAACTCTCTCTATTATACCGTCAATATTTACAATACTGCCCTCTCCTCCACTAAATCATCGAATTTTCCATATTTGCTCCAAAGAACAAGAATTTGCTAAACGATATAGAGAGGTCTGATCGAAAACAAGTCAAACCCTTAACCGATTCATCCACAATCTCGCGTCGAATCAAACCCGATCCGCCCGGCCGGTTAAGCTCCAAACATCACGATTCGTCTCTCTCCAACACATGAAAGCTTTTTATACATAAAAGATTGAGAATGAATCTTGAGGATAGAGAAGATCTCAATCGTGCCAACAAAGTAGCATGACGACACATCTTCGAATGATGTAAAGCTTAGCTCTTTGTTCTTTAAGAACAGCTCCAAGTCCTTTACTCGATACTCTTCTCTTTGAACCTCCCATCTTCATCTTCGATATATCGATCAACTTTGGCAAAAACAAAAACAAATTTTTCTTCTCTTAGGGTTTGAGATATGTAACAGAGGATAAATGAAAATGAGGATACAGAGAAGAAGAGAGTCTTTTTTATAGAAGAAGAGAACGATTGAAACGTGACCCTACACACTTCTTTTTCACTACCCACTTGTGTGTTTTTTTGCGTTATTGCAATTTAATTATCATTGAATATTGAATGATTTATATGGTCACAGTTTCACAAAACCCCCAAACATATATGCCCTATTTGTCCCCGTTGTTGGTATGTATCATGGCACACATGCAAGCCACGTGGTGGATTAATTTATCTATTTTGGTTGTAATTCTCTTTTTTTTTTTTTTGGAAAGAAGTTGTAATAATTTTTTTTATTTTTTTTCAAAGCTGTAATTATCTAATTATTACTTTGAGAATTTTTCAAACAGACGAAAATGGGTTCTGTCCTTCCACCTATAGATGTTATATTGCTTCTAGATTAGTAGTTTTTTCTCTGGGAATCAAGGGTTAACGATCAAACGAGGTTTAATTACAAACGCTCACAACAAACTAGCTGGTGGTTTTATTATTTTATTTTTCTTACCTATGTTTTATTGGTTATATACAGAAAATTTTGTCACTATTTTTTTAAAAAGAATTAGTGCATGAAATAGATATGGGCATATCTCAATGCACATATTTGTCTTTATAGAAAATACTAGATTTTTTTTTTCAGTAACGCCTTCTTTTTTCTTTGCAGATGCAAATGGAGTGGCCGAATCATTCTCTTTTTTTATGCAATATATGTTTTTAACTATTAAAAAGAAGAGAAAACAACTATAGTATTTGTTTTGCAAATCATAGTTTTATTTATTTTTAACTAAGTTTATTTAGATTTTGTCGTGGATTACATCAGGATCCAAATATTTATTTTAGGGAAATTGTTAAAAATACTCATTTTGGTGTGCCCCTTTTCAAAAATGCCCATTTTCAAAAATGCCCCTTTTAGATGTCCATTTTCAAAATGCCCCTTTTTAAATCTGAAATTTTTATAAAGTTTTATTAGGTTTATAAGGTACTTATGGATTGTAACTACTACTTGAAGACTCGATCCACGTATTTATAAGGTTTTATAAGGTGTTTTTAAAGGTTTTACAAGTTATTTTAAATGATTTTTAAGGTTTTTCAAAGGTTTTACAAGATATTTTAAAATTTTTTATAGACATTTAAAATGCATTTATAAGGTATTTATAAAGTATTTATAAGATTTTAGATACATAGAAATGTAGTTTGTGTATGTTTTAATAATATTGCATACATATTTGGATAAATCTTATATTTTTAAGAGCATTTTTTATAAGGTTTTAACAAAAAGGTATTTTTGAAAAGTTGCATTGAAAAAGTGGCATTTTGCAAAAAAAAAAACCCTTTATTTTATCCTATTATTGTAACAAATTATACTTTCAACTTTTTCTAATTTCGGTAGAATTGTAATTAAATGTTTTTTTATAACAGAAGCTTCTAAAAAAGTTAGATAGATATGTTCAGCGTAGCCGGAGAAAAAGATTGAATTATTTAAGTATTAAAAAAACTTCGAGAATCCTTACTTCGAGAATCCTTACTTGACTTTGGCAAAAAACAAAAAACAAAAAAAAAAACATCGAGAAGAGTTTCAAACTCAGATCCTAAACATTTTTTTTCTTCCAGATCCTATACATGCAAAGACACTATACTGCAAATAAAAGTCGTGCATCTGATTTTCTTATGTCGTATATGAAAATCAATAATGATAGTTTCTAAAAAGCAGACTTTTCAAATCACTAAAACAGATATTGCCGTCGATTGATAATTAACGTCTCATACCATATAACATGATGATATCCAAAAATATCGGCGAGTGAAGGATAATATATTTATAATTTATTAGGTTGTGACCACAGTCAAATTTTGTGGATGATATAAATAGTTGGTTTTTCATAAATCATTTAAATATATTTATTTTACAAACGGGTTGGATCCACGTCAGTGTTCCAATCTTTTAGACCTTCCACGCACAATTTCAAATTCTATGGTGTGCTGTGATGTAAGAAATTAAATTCTCTTTTACTTGCTCAATTATAAATTTCAGTTCAAAACTTATTTTAACTAAACACAGCTATATATTCATTCTAGACTTGTATTATTCTCTTATTATCAATGTACATTACCTGACAAAATAGTTAATATTATAGTCAAAAATATTATTTTTAATAGAATGCACGTATGTACGTATTTGAGTATATATAGTCTATTTAGTAGAGTTCATCTAGAACTATTCGTTATGCAATTCAGTATTCGTAAACTTGTTATCAAAACAAAGTGTCCAACGTTAATGAATTACGACTTCAAAATATTTGTCTTTTCATATGTACATGTTGACTCTTGTAAAGTGTCCATGACGTGGCGTGGATGTTGAGATTCGTTTAGTGAGAATGTGTCATTAATCAAAGAATGCGTTAGGTGACGACGATTACTATAATAACTCCTAACTAATTGGTCTTCTGGTGGCGCACGAATTAATTTATGATTATACCAAATAAATGATAGAGCATATACTTTCAAATTCAGATATAATAAATATTTCGTCCGTGAAGATTGATTTTTCCATTATACTCTTTATTGTTTGCTAATTGTTTCACTTTTTTTAAGTTTGATGCACTACTAGTTTAAGTTTAATAAATTATATAAGAAAAATAAAATTTAGAGTTGAAAACCAAATTTTAAAATCTTATTATCTGCTTAAAAATCGTCCAAGTATCCAGTTGTATATGACTTACTACTGATTAAATATTCGATCTAGGCCTTAATTCGAATACAAAGTCGAGTCAAAGGGTAAAAAATTGGAACTTTGCTAATAATAAGACTCACAAACAAATAATACAAATTGTTAACTAGACAAATAAAGAATTGTGGGCTTCTTGGATAAATCAAAGCACTTATAAGGGTTCTTACTTCTTAGCCTTCTTCGTAACCTTTAAAGTTAAAATCGGCCCCAATGTTCAAAACCTATCATTGGCCCAACTACATTTAGATGTGATATATAACTTTCATCACACACCAACAACTTATACTTATTTTTGATTGGGATCATCGTAATTCATAAATATACGAATATTATTTTGGTTTACTTAAGGTCGGACAATTCTGTTCAAAAACCTGGTTACTTTCCCTGTATTATGTCATACTAATTAGATCTGTACAATCTATTTCGTACGCATAAACATTACGACATCTATCATAAACGTACCCACATAAGAACTTCTAGTTCATAATGAAGAGATGGTAATAGTTTGCGTATATTCTGAAAACTCAAAAAATCCGAGATCCATCGGTTTGGCATTTTACTAATGATATCGCCAAGATGATCTTAAATCGATGAGAATCTAAACTAGTACTGTCAAATGTCAAAACCACTCTCTAATCTAACCATCAACTTGCTCTTCAAATTAGAGAAATAAATTATAAATTGAAGTAAAACGAAGTCAAGAGGGAGACACATCTCATTGTAACTCATCGTTACATAGACATAGCTCTTTTTGTTAAACACATACATTTCAATCGATCCTGTCTTAACTCTTCTCGTTCACTTTCTTCTTTTCGATTAGACGATTACACTTGCCTGTAAAAATTAACAATTATCACATGAATGGTTATACACCGTCGGATCAACACCGACCACCTCTTCGATCATCTGCCACGTGGCTTCACCCACGCGTATTTTATTACCGCCGATCAAAATAGCTTTCTTCCACGTCAGCAAAACACAGCCGCGTCTTCCTCACCGTCCGATGTGACAATCAGCTATCAGAGATCAACGGTGAGTACCGAAACAGATCATACGGAGCCCATAACGAATCCAACGGACACGGTCGTCTCGAGTCAAGCCTTAGCCATGGTTTCCCTTTCCCGCTCCAATGCAACAAACTCACCGGACCTGGATGCAGATTCCGGCACAGCCCCTCCAAGTTATCACCGCCAAGACCATGCTGATTCCACCTATGCTCCACCGGCTCAACATCTCCGGCGAATACAAGCAGAAACGGAGGCAAAGATCCCAATTCATAAATACGATGTCGTTTTTGAATCCTCATCCATGTCTCAAGCTTCACCGTGACTCTCCTCTCTCTCCATTTTCCGAGATCAATCACCATCACTCCGGTGTTGAAATAACACGGTCTCCTTCCTTTCAACGCCGCTTTGAAACCTTGACTCGACCAGAATCTTGAAGTGAAGTAATTAGTGAAATTCGCGTGACAGTGCTCTGGAGCTCCGACGACGTGACGACGTAGATCGATTCTCCAGAGTTTTGCCACGTCGTCGACGACAACGAGATCGGAGTCGAAGTAGATTATGCGGTGGACGGCGATTGGGAGGAGATCGGCGAGGTAGATCCGAGCGTAGTTTAAAGGTTGGTCTAAAGCACGACGAATCGAGGAAGAGATTTTGCTACGGACGAGGTTAGGGTCAAAATGGTAAATTTGGTATGTTAGGTAAGGGAATGTTGATGAGATTATGCGGCGGAGATCGGCGCTGCGACGGTGAGTGGCGATGAAGTGGAAAACGATGTTTTCAGGACAAGAAGCGTGTTGGAGAACGGAGAAGACGCCAGCGACTGAGCCACGGAGGTAAATAGCGTCGAGAGTCATAGCGATGTGGATGATTGAAGGATTGTGATCGCGATCCGACGGTGACCAAGCTGTTCTGGAGCATTCTCTGCCGTTTCGAAACGCCGGAGCTTCTCGAAATGTGGGGAGGTCAGTGAGAGTGACTGTGGCGCAGCTAATCGCGATTGGTAAGAGTAGGAGAAGACATAAACGCAAACGCAGGGAAGACATTTTTAGTCTGTGAGTGAGTGGAGACAAGAGAGTGTGAAAGAGAAGGCTTTTTCTGTCGGTGTTAATGGCGGATTAGGGGTAGTTTTGACATTTTGAGACTTATTTAGTTATTTTGGTTAATTGCTAATTTGTCAAGGAGATTCCTTGTGATAAAAAAGTTTCATTATGAAAGTTAGTGCTTTTTGGGATATATTTTTAACAATAACTATGAGTCTCCGGTGATTTTGAAACTACGTACGAAATGAGTACTGCGACTAGCGAGGGTAGGATTGTCTGTTTCGCAGATTAGATAATTCTGTTTTCACGTGTTAAACATGTTGACCATGTTGGCTAGACTTCTATTAATCGGACGGTTGTAAATCATACGGTGTAGAATCTGACTTAAATGAGAAAGATAAATCAATTGGTTCAGCGTGATTGAAGAGCGCGTGTATACACGCACCAATAATAGTCGTGGAGATTTTTAACCCTTGGTTCGAGTAAAATAAGTTTTTTACTACAGAGAAACTTATATCTCAAGAACATTGTTATTCATTGCACCAAAAGCAGTCATGTTATATCACTTATCATCATTTTATTTTCTTTGTTTTTTTACATGATTTTAAATACGACAAACGTATTCTTCATAGAAGGCAAATATATCTGATAATAGTATAATACTGATATAGAGTATAGACTGATTAAGAAAAAAAAAAAAAAAAAGGAGATGGGCTTTATCACTTTAAGTAAGTACAATCCCCAGTTAGATATCACCACCATTAATGCATTTCTCTCAGCCACTTGTATGCCATAAATGATACCAAATCTAATTTGGTTATTGCAGAACGGTGAGCCATTTTTATCACTAGTGAAAAAGTAAATTTGTTTTTTTTCATTCGAAGAAACCACATTCGAAGAAACCACAAGACTACTTCATTGGTCCATGATGAATAATGAATAGTATGATGCGAAAATAAAGATGAAAGTTGCAAACACAAATGTTTGGATGTTTTTGCTTTGTTAAAGGAATATTAGCCTTCATAGATTCTTTTCCTCACTCTTCCCAATTTTCATATCCACTTAAATTTGTTTTAAACTGTAATGTCATCATGTTTTTGAATATCACATGTCTACAGTGTAACGATACAAAAATTCTTGGATTTTCAAAATAGATTTTGAGAATGTTCAATATTTCATCAAAACTATGGTTATTGGTTAAGGCGCAGTTGTGACTGTTCCATCCTAACGAGCAATATGTATCAATTGAGCTTAAACATGTAAAAATACAAATTAATATATCGGTAGAAAGGTCCTCCTCCTCTTTACTAATTCTATCCACGTAATTGAAATCGAGGTTCTACGAACATGTTTAAACCCATTGTGCCATACTGCCGTTATTATTTTTAAAAATCTAAATCCCCCGAATGATGTAGAAAAGTCAGATCCCACCGACACAAAAACACAAATCCCTCATCAATTATTTTCATTATAAAACTAGGGACAGACAAAAGTGGATAACCTATCAATTTTCTGTCTCATTAGCTTTTACACCATATTCAAATTTTAATATTTCCATATGGCTTACTATTACTAACACAAACTTAACAAATGGATCAAATATTGCCTTATTTAGAGGGAGACGAATAATTAAGAGGTAATAGGATATAACAAAAATGATCGTTCTACTTCTACAAATCTAATAAGTAAAATCTTTTAATGGGAGTGGTGATTTTTTAGAAAGATTAAAAAGGATGCAAATTATTCATGGGATGAATATTGATTATTGAATCTTATTCTCCGACTCTTAACGAAAGGGGGAATGGCATAACAAATTGGAAAAAGTTGTGTGTTTGAAAAATACTTCTATGTACTGAATATCTTTCCTTCTTTGTGTTATGTATGTGTGTTGTCAGGCCTGAAACTTAAATTAAGCCCAATCTTGTTGTGTCTGTGAAGCCCAATTCAAAATGAACCCACAAAGTGAGAATAAGCATCCCAAATGGAGGATAACAAAACTTTAATCACCTTAACCGAGTTCTACGTACGAAATACTTTTTCATTGACTTCAGAAAAAAAAAGTCTACACTTAATTTATCGTAGTCTATTTGCATTTTTTTAAAAAGGATTAACGTAGACGTAGTCTTTTCTACTATAAATTTGACTTTTTAATGTCGGGGAAATATTCAGAAAACAAATATAACAAGAATTGTAATCTCGTTTAAGTAATTGAATATTTCTAGTATGATAGAAGGAAGGAAAATTTGTCCATGTGAAGATTCTTAAATGCAACAAAGAAAAGAAAAGCAAAATAGTTTGACGAAATTTGAAAAGTCAAATGGAGTGTACAAAGGGCATATTTTAGGTCGACCGTGAAGTTCCCGCTACGTACAAGTCGGTACAAATCATTCTTGCCTGTATTAAGGTTTTTATTTTTAATTTTTAGTTGAACAAAATCTAATGTGCGCTACAACCGTACATGTTTTGTTTTACAATTATTCCATTAAAAAAATGGGAGAATGAATGATTCTTTTTTGAAAAAAGTGGTTTTCTAATCATTAATCTATTATTTTTGGGAATATCAATCTTCGTAATTTTATTACAGCAAATCGGTTCTACTGTATTATCTATATTGCTTGTGTGCATGGAGTTTTTTTAACAACGATTCCACAACGTTTGGTAAATGAAAAGATATTGGTAAAAGAGAAACAAATTATAATAGAAATAGTTAAAACTTTCAAATCCAGAAAATCGAATAGATTAGAGCAAATACTAGCAAGACCGTGCAAACTTGTTTTTGTTAAACACTTATATCGTTGAATATGGATTGTATGTTCTTCTTTAGAATAAATGATCTAACTTTCTGTTGGGACTTCACAGATGTTCTATGAAAATTTTCCATATATACACATATTTTATATCTATCCCTACAGTGCCGGTCCGACGTTTACTAAGACCCTAAGCAAGAAATTTTTTTCCCCCTTTTTAAAATGCTATTTAAATTCTTACATAATAGTATAATACCAACTATTTTTTCTTCAACTCAAACTAAAGAAATAGAAGTTCAAAAATATAAGAAAAACATAAAGCATCAAAACCAAACAAAACAGAAGTTCAAACACCAAAAAACCCTAACTCAATATCGCAAACTATAGGAAAGATCAATAGTTTTTGCTTTGCTTTGTATAATAACTAAAAATAAATCAAAACTGTAAAAAAAAAAAAAAAACTTAATGGGCTATAAAACTGTTCATTCAGGCTACGCCTACACATGCATATTAACATTATAATTGTATATTAGTGAATTATCATTGATGGATGAGACAAAAAAAAAAAGTCATAAAATATATATATATATATATATGCAAAGCTGGCAGATAGACTTTGATGGATTAGAAGGAGGAGACTTTTATAGAGATTGGTGTTATGTGAAAATTATAAAGAAGAGCAAGTGGGTACATTCTTTTAAGATCAATGACCCATCCTCTTATTTTGTTTCTAAGAGCAATATTATTGGGAATTTGTTAACTTTGGTTCTTAATAATTTTTTAATATTAAAATTGTTTTTAGCTAATACGTAAGATTTACTTCTTACAAACATTTTTGGCTCTTAGATAAGAAATCTTTCTTACCAATAATAATTATTTGCCATTTAATTAAATACTTTTTAATACTTAAGATTTACCTAAGATTTTTCTAAGAGCCTATTAATAATCATGGTCTGTAGTTATAAACAAACTAAAATCACATATAAAACATAGCATTAATATTATCTTTATCTAAAGTTCCTGTCTTAAACTCTTAATCATACTGATATGGGTTGGTAGTTGGTACCAAAGAATTAAATAGTAACTAACTCTAATGAGGAATCAATTACGAATAAAGAACTTATTTTGATGGCTTTTATAGAATTTGCCATTTTATCAAAAAAATTTGAAAATTGTCATTTTCTTGTAAACAAAAACACAAATTTACACATAATGCTTGGGTTTATTAAGTGGGATTATTGTTTAAAATGCCATTTTTTTGGAAAAACTTACGAAAATGCCATTTTTTGAATAGTTTACGGATTTTGCCATTTTTTAACACTTGAAATGTACGTATTTATGATTTTTTTTTGTAAAAATACGTACTTTATACCAAATACTAACCCTAAGAACAAATGGAACAGACTAAACCCAAACATAACGAGTGAAACGCATGTTAAATCATATTTTTGGAGCTTGAAAAAAGGCAAAATCCACAAATGCCATTATAAAAAATGGCAAAATCTGTAATTAATTCTTATTAAGTTCCTGTTTTTTGTAGGGTATAGTTTTTGTTATAAAGTATATGTTTTATGAAATTATTTTTCCAAGTTTTTAGTTTTTAAAAATGGCAAAAATGGCAAATTTGAAAGAATGTTGAGAAAATGGCAATTTTGAAAAATGGTTGAGCAAAAATGGCTTTTTAGATAATAATCCCCTCTAATGAGTGGTGATCTTTCTTATTATTTTTTCTATGTAAAACATTTTTTTTTTGGCAAAGAGTGTTTCTTATTAATTTAGAAACGAAAGCATACAAACGAATTTGTAATCGTATTTACTTTTCTTTTTCTCTTTGTAATTTCGTAATTATAGAGTCTCTACTCTATCTATGTAACATTTCGCCGTGTTCATTAAAAATAAAATTGCAATATATACGTTGATATTGGCACATATATGTTACATATTTCTCCCGGACTAAAATTTTTGTTAAAAATATGTAACATATATGTACCAATATCAATGTATAGATTGTAATTTTATTTTTAATGAACACAGCAAAAAGTTCCATGGATAGGAATTAGGATGGTGATCCTATAATTACGAAATTACAAAAAAAATAAAGTAAATACGATTGCAAATTCGTTATTCTTTTGGTCTGAAAATTTCTGAATAAAACTAAATTTTCTAAAATTCGTTGAGACTCATGTAAATATATCAATCAATCAAAAATTGAATAAAACTCTAGTTATAAATCTATGTTGCATCACGATATATAAACTCTCCAAAGTCGCTGAAGTAATAATGTAAGTGTCAAAAAAAAAAAAAATTAATGTAAGTGTCGAACGTTCTTTACTTCTTTTAAGTTATTGACTCGTCATGCTTTTGGATTAATTTGTCAACTCTTTGTTATTTTCTATTTCTTTCTTTATATCTTATACTTTTCTGATTTATTTATCGTTAC